TACATTATACATTACACATAATAGTATTATTGCGGAATGTGTGAAACGTATCGGCCTTACCGTAGGTCGCGAGCATAAGGACCTTATTGTTTTTCTTATTTACTGTAACATGTTTTATTTAAAATTATTTCTTTATTATTATTTTTTTTTTTATTGGCCGCCCCCAGCTACGACGGAGTTCCCCTCGCATAACATTAAAGCGGGACGCGGACCGACTGTTTGAAAAGATATTTGTTTCGATTATCTCGATGAAAGTTATCGACACGATAATAATTTCAAGGTTACACACTGCGGGCGAAACGATCGAAATATTATACCCGCAACGCAACGGTATTTTTTGAATAGCACATAATATTACAATACCGTGTACGGTCACCAATAGTGGTGGCGGTAGTGGTGGTAGAGGGAATCCGAATAGAGAATATTAATATTATACCTGCATGGATTATGGCAGGCGGCTAACGCGAACATGTGAATTCCTCCAAAACCACCGTTGCAAAACACACCGGACGTCCTTGTTCAGCACTTGTTGATATTATTGCGCATTAATGGGATACGGACAAATAAAATGTCTGAAGATAATAGTAATGATATGCTAATCGCATTTGCGTGTCGGCGGTCTGTTATAGCCTTTCGAAACCGATAAAACTGATAACTTGCTAAAAAAAAAAACATTTTCATCACCAAGTACCGAAAGAAGGATTTTGCAAGTGTGATACTCCCGGGTCTTAAAAAGCCTAATTTCAGTTTTGTGTTGTTTTAGCCGTCTAACTATGCATTCTTAACGAAAATAGGTGCTACATTTTTTCAATTTCTAATGTTTAAATCCGAAAAATGTGAAAAAGAATTTTAAAAATACTTTTCATAATACGTATACGGTTTTGTTTGTACCTATGTATGAAAATGAAAATGTTTGTCGAGTAATTAATTTTGAAACATAAAAAACGCGAGGCGAGTTATTTTAATGAAAATGAAAGTAATTTGATTGCTAAATGGTTATTACCCTCAGTCCTTCATTACCAGACACAGTGTTATTATTAATTTGTTTAATAACGTTACACGGATCACCTATGTGTTGAGCCAATATTAAAATCGATAGATACTTTTCAAACACACTATTCAGGTTTTATTTTATAGTTTATTAATTTCAAAAACATTTCTTTCCTCCTGGAAATATTTACTCGTTCGAAAATGAATGCTTAATTGACTTATTTACTATTTAATATAATATAAAGTTTTAATTGATATTATTATTGTAGCTATAAGTACTGTATAAATTATTTTTATCAGAATGCGGAATTAGTTTGTCCAGAAAAAAACGTAATCTGTTCACTTTTATATAAATAAAATATTTACGGGCACTGAGATATTGACAGAGACACGACCTTCGACTGCCAAATCATTAAGACAAGAGCAGATGCACTCGACGAAAATACATAAAAATACGTTTTTACATAATCTAACCATGTATAGAACCGAATAGCATTAAAGTTTTATTTTACAAGACATAAACGATTTGTAGTTGATTAGATTAGGTCATAGAGACGTGGCATGACATTAATTTTTGTGGACAAGTTTTAACATAGAACGAGTTTAAGAAATAATAGTGAAAATCGGCAGTGATCAGATTTTTATGATCTATGATTTCACGCGTCTAAGATTATTTTATGTTCTCCAATTTGTTCTTACAATTCGAATATCTTAAGGAACATGCATATTATGATTGTTGGTTCAAAAAATTCAAATTAGCTATTGCCACTAAAAATGTACAACTGTAATTTACCGTTCTGTATGAAATCGGTTGAATACCTATCCGATGATGTTTCTACGGTCAGCCAAGAGGCGGGGAAAAAACAAAAGGCTATTAATACAAGTCTGAAGGTAAATGTGGAAGTATAATGCGATTGGCGTGTGCATTATCTACGGCCATATAGATTTTACCCGATTTGGTCACAGGTGTGCGCGCTGTACAACATATAGGTGTCGTATGGTCGGGTACCCTCGGGGAGAGGATGCGACGAATAGTAGTGTAATGTGTAATAAAGAAGAAAATCGGATGGAAGCCGAGATATTCATTGCCATCATTGTCGGTAATTGATATTTCGCCACGGCAGTCGTTGGTCATGACACGCAGCATCCAAGTAGTTTTTACGTCATGCCACCGCAACAGCTGTACAGCCATAGGAGATTCGATTCTACCGTATCTTATAATATAAGTACACCTAGAGGCGCCGGCCCGCCGTCAGAGTCCGAAGGGCAAAATCGAAGGACGAAATCGATAGTGAAAACGCGCACCCAAAGCAAAACAATTCATTTATGTATCATAATAAAGGTATTCAAGTCTCCGGTGCTAAAGTCTCTGGCGTTAAAGTCTCCGGCTAAGGTCCAACAGCTCCAGTGTGAATTACCTTTCTGGCGGTGGCTAATGATTAACAAATCATCATGAAACACCGTCCGGTGCTTAAGCGATGAGTAAAAATATATAAGTATTCGTTCAACTCGATTGGTTTTTCGTTTGACCATAGTCCACAAAATTTGCCCCTGAAAAGTTAACGGCTGGAAAAAATATCCTCGGGAATGATGAAAAACAGAATGATTCCAAAATACATTAAAGTGTATTTAACAGTGTTAGGATTTATTAATATTATTATCGCCTAAAGGGAATAAATTGGTAGTGGACCAATAGAATACATTATAAGGCCTAGGAATAATGTCCGAGAAAAATATCCATGGAGTAATGTTTCCTTAAAAAAAAAAGATTCCCCGAAAATAGTGGTTCCTCTTAATCTCTAAAAAAATATACCCGAGAAAAATGATTCTGACTATTCCAACAATATATTTAAATGTATTTTATGTTGGTAGTTCTTTGTTAGTTTGAAAAATTACATCTACTAATTGCCATTATTTAAAAAAAAAATGCGACGTTTGTTATGTACTTTGAAATATGTGTTAGCTTAACAGAAGTTTTCAAAGTTGTTGTGCTTTTATGGATCATTAAAATAATTGGAATTTTTTAGTTTTTCTTTTTAAAAAAAGAAATATGTTTACTATGTTACAATATTACTAGATATTTACTATTTTATAGTATATTCCAACTCTTTCAAAACTTAAATGGTAACTTTTGCGTTTAATTTATATTTTTAATCAAGAGTAATTTGCTAACAAATTTGAAGATCTCTAAACCCAAAAGGGAAAACTAAAAAATAGTAATTATTTTCCTATAAAGATAGTGTCTTCCGTATCAAAATGGATCACCTTGTATTGGAACATCTTACTTGGGGTAAATTTTTTCCAGGAATTCGCAGGTTATTCGTGTCACCCGTCGCAATGAACTTCAGTACGGCATTACTGTTATATTGCCATTATAATCTCAATCACCGTCTTCGAATCTGCTGCATCACGATCATAAATCGCAGGTAGGTACACACTTTAAGAATAATATTATTGTTGTTATATTGTCTCGCGTCGGCGACATCAACGTCCGACAATGACATTAACGACCGCACTATGCGGTGACTTTCTATTGCCAATATTCACAATCCACCGTGCTAAAACGACCATCTCGTGTAGCGTGTGCGTATAATATGATCTATGCAATGAAAAGATCTATGAATTTTATTAGCCTATATGTACCACAAACCCGTTAACCTGTGCGCAATAACACTGTAGATACACCATCGTGTCCAGGTCATACGGAGTGGTGAAATTTGTCGTTTAAACTTCATTGCGCTCATAATAATAACAATAGTAATTAAAGTCGAAGAAAAATGATTAAATTCTCGCTGTTAGGTTAGGTATTTTGTGTATTTTATCATTAACGGCCGGGCACATTAGGTCAAGAACTCGACCATAAAAAAAAAGGCGGTATGATCTTAAAATGCCCGTCAAAATGCAAAGAGCCTCGAGAAAATAAATAGTTTCCCAAATCAACTGAAGGAGTGTATTAGAAAAAAAATGATATTATTAGCATTTATTAGCATTAAAACAAATTAGAGGTATTTGTCAAACATGTACTTATTACGTCTTATTACCTATTTACTTATTTGAAAATAATATTCAATAATTAAAATTTGTTCCCTTTTTTTTTTTTTGCTAATAGTATTTATGCAAATCTGTGAAAAAAAGTAAAACTTAAAATAATTATATTTATACATAAAACCGCAATTTATAACCAATACTCAACTGCACTCCACCTCCGGTTCTAGTTTTTAAAATTTAACAACCCAGAAATTATTTATTCAAAACTGGTTGCCGAGCCAATATTTTTAGCAAATTATTCTTAATTTATAAAGTTAATTAAATATACACGTTTTCATTTAATTTTCAAAAGTTGATAAAGCTCTAAAAAATATTAAATAAGATATAAGTTTAAAAATTGTCTTGTATAACAACGTCCTCTTCCAAGAAGAAAAACTTCAAAATTTCAGTTATTTTTAAGAAAATCTTATCCACAATGTATTATGCTTTAATAGCATTATTATCGTAATTCGTATTTAGAGTTGTGCAAATTGTTATTCGAATAATTATTCAAATAAAAAAGTGTTCGAGTTATTTTTTTCAATTTATTCAAATAAAACAAATATTTCTAATAATTATTTTGAAAATTATTCGAATGAAAAAATATATGGATAAAAAACTGCCTATATTTACTGGTTTTATATATTTTCTAAACGTAGAACATGTTAAATTTATACGGAATAATATTTTCGAATATAATTACTTGAAAAAAAAAACATTAACAAACTGTTTAAATAATATATTAAAAACTTATTAGAATAATTAAATTTGAAATTCTTCGAATAACTTTTTATTTGAATAATGGAATAAAGTATTATTCGAATAATTATTATTTTTGTTATTATTCGAATGAATTTTACTTGAATAATATTGTGTTATCTAGATAACGTTTTATTCGAATGATCATCGTTGATCAGCCGATTGCCATTTATTTTACACGGCCGTTTCGCGTTGCAATTAACAGCCATTTGGGGTGTACTCACGTATTGTAGATTATCAGTCTTTTGGTTGAGCCTCAGGTCGATCATCGAGTTCCAGTCGTTGGCCTGCGTCTTGCCGGCGCCGGAGTGGTAATGCCGGCGGGCGTCCAGCTCGGACGGCGTGTTGGACTTGACGGACACCGTGCCGGAAGAAGGCGACACCTCGTCCGAGGAGCCCGTGCCTTCGCCGGCGCCTGCGTTGGGCCTTCCGCCGCCGCCGCTGCTGATGGTGCTGATCGTCCCGCCGCTGCACGCCGACGAGTACCCGGAATTGCTGCTGCTGCCGCCGCCGCCGGTCCTGCGACACTTGCAACGGGCGCAGTGCCTGCAACACCGGACCCTGGGTATGCGCTCGGGGTCCGGGTACGCGTGCACCGCGTCACCGCCGTAGCCGGGCCACACCGGCCGCGGTATGCAGTACTCGTGCGCGTCCATGACGCCCTCCTTGATCGGCGACAGCCACGGCTCGACCGGCTTTTGACTGGACTTGCCCGACGACGACCGCGACGAACCGGGCGGCGAGCCGGCCGACCTCAGGCTCTGCGTGGCGGGCGGCGACGACTTGTCCAGACTCGAGTGGTCCGAGTGCGGTTGGCTCTCGTACCCGGAACTGCCACGGCTCTTGTCCCATGACGCGCCGCCGCGGTGCTCGTCGTCCACGTAAATTGGATTTATTCTGTAAAACGAACGCGAGAAACCGTTGAGAAATTATTGTTGTACACTTATTAAAAAAAAGTATCTCCGAGGAGAGAAACATACGAATCGCGTCGTATAGAAGATAATGATAAGATATCAGAGATAACAGATAACTGATAACAGATACACCACACCGTACATATAATACATAGTGCAATCTCAAATATATGCTCTGGCTGAAAGTTTGTTAGTCGGTTTATGATGTCTGGCTGAAATCGACCCAATCGAAAATTCCCATTCGGTTTCCACAAGCTGTCTTTTTTAAGGCAACCCCTCCCCCCTACCCTTATTCCTTATCAAAATTAAAAACCCTGGTTATTTTTTGCGCTCCATGGAAAAACATTGAATCATGGCTATTATATATCAACTTTTACTCCATCAATGGGTTATAAATAAAATACAAATTTTAAAAAAAAAAATGTTTTGTTTTTATCGATTGAGAATATATATTACATATACATTATATTAGTAAAAAAAACATAGAATTTCGTTTACAATAAGTGTGCCATTTATACATGTTAATAAAGTCACCCAAAGAAAATATTAATGAATTTGTTATCTAAAAAATGAGCTCTCGCCGACTCCGAAGACATTGGTGTCGAGATCTGTTAATACAATAATTCAAATTAATCTAATTAAAAATAATTAGAACAAAAATCACGTTGGGTTCTATTACTGGATAGCCTCCCTCCTCATATCAAATCACCGTTTCTATTTGTTTATTTTTTTTTCCTCTCTCTGTATATATAACAATGTAACTATTTGCTTATTATGCCTTGCAGCATAGATTGTAAATACTCTTTAATAAATAAAAAAAAAAAAAAAAAAAAAAAAAAAATGAGCTATGTTTTACGCCCTGTATAATTATAATAATATACTTGTTATGCAGGGTTATCAAGTGTCGACACGTTTATAGGATATTTGAAACGCCCATAATGATATATTACTATGCATATACACAATAACCGCTAATGGCAATAAATCACAGGAATATGAGTATAGGTTATAGTACACAATATGTAGATTGGGAAGATTTATTTGCTAAAAATTATGGTCCATGAAGTTTTACTTTTACCGTCCGTTCGTCGTCGAGATTCGCCTTAACTAGTGAACATCGTTAAAATCGACTATTATAATTACTACATTTAGAAAACGAACTCGAATATACTATTATACAAAACAAAAGCCAATACATCCACGTGGTATGTTTGTCACTAAAAACATAATATAATAATATTTTTTTCACAAAGGAGTAAAAGTGTAGAACGAAAAAAAAAAATACAAAATTGATCAGCAAGTCATTTTCGTTTTGTTCGTTGTAAGAATTTCAAAAATGAAATCAAGATTTTTAATGTCACCATTAACCGTGTACCGTTACCAGATGAATAATTATTAATAAACAATAATTAGACAGAGGCAGAGCTGGATTGATCATAAATTAAATTCGCTATGCTAATGCCATTCGATTTCTTATATTCACTTTCGCTTTTGCTATCACAACCCTATTTAAATCGAGAACTAAAAGAGAGGAAAATTAGCCGATAATAGACGTATGGAAGTGATGAGAACGGCGATTGACATAATATGAAATTTGGACTCAGTTAAGCATCTAAGTAGGATTTTTGGGAATGCGTGAAACGGCAAAACGACAGCTCGTGTTAGGAATACCTGTTGTAAAAACGGTTTTTGCACACCCACTATATTATGAACGTGCAGGAGAAAGATGCTGTTTCGAAAGGAGTTCATTGAAAAGACGAATTTGGTTGTACTGCGGCCAAAATAATTTATGTTAAACGCGACTCTAACATGCAAAATTAATTTCACATGCGCTTTGATTTGGTTCCGTGACGACGAAAACCGTATCGATCCGGTTTGATCATTCAGACATATTATTATTGTGTACGAATAATTCCGTATTTTCAATTAATTTGCACGCGTTAATGTCGGTGCCGTTGTTGGATAAGCTCTAAGTCGAATTGCCGGAATTACAGTGTTTTATACAAAAAAAAAAAAAACAAAAATCTATAGGTATATTAATTGTATGCGTAAAGGATAGGTTAGGGGGACTTGGTCCAGTGCAATGCCCTTCGTTAGTGTGTTGGGTATTATTAAACCCCACATGATAAGACATTGTGTGATATTAAGAGTTATCAAACTAGATCAAATTTTCTTTTCCATGAAATCCTTCTTTCTATGTTACTTTATGATTAAAAACCGTTTTGGTTGATAAATAACCACACGTTTTACTGTTATTGTGTTTTGAACTGAGTGATGTCGATAATTGGGTATTTCAAACTCCAACACATTATTCATGTACCAATTTATGTTTATGGTACCAAAGACTTAAAAAGTGAAGACGATGACTGAAAAATTAATTTGTCTACTGACGAGTGGTTAAACCTAAAAGTGATTATTTTATTTTGAAAAACAACATGTTTTAAGCAAAGGGTTTTTTTTTAATTTTATATTAATTCATTTAAAAGTTCAATACCAAAAATAATATTTCCTGTTAAAAATGTTTACTAAAAATTGTTTTTTGTAGTGGTAACTTAATCCTATACATGCAAATTGTTATAAAATTAAGTTGTATAAATATTTAACATTATTTTCAAATTTGTTTAAGATTTGTCGTTAGTTTACCTTATGGGGTGTACTAAACCCCAACACACTAAAGGCGGAAATAACTAGCAACACACTAACGAAGGGTCAAATATTCTGAAAAACGAATAATCGTTTGAATAGTTCAAGCAGACCTCTCCTAAAATTACACTTTTTCAACGAACAATTTTGAGAGTAATTCGAACGAAATTACTCTGATTCGGTTAGGTACCTCATGGCTGATATCACACTTAAGCAGTGCCGTTTAACTACACGTTAAACGTCTGGCACCAGATTGACTCGTCTGAGAATCCGGATGGTTCTTAGCACGATGACGGGCGCTTAGATTTTTTTTTAATAAATAATTATCGTTAAGGGCGCCCGGTAAATTTCGAAAATGTATTTGTTTAGGTTTACCCGCGAGATTTAAGAGCCACATAGACGACAGGCAGTCGTGTGCTTATGTCATCGCAGTGTAAATACACATTAACGTGTATGCAGCAGGTAATAATCGTTTAATGGACGTCCGTCTCCTATACTTTATTGCCAAATTGGCTTTTAACAACAATAGCTCGCCGGTTTAGCATAATAATAATGTATTATACCTATTATTATGCGCTTACGGCCGCTTGCATAAGACGTTAAGTACTAGGTAACAGATTACACTGACGGCTATAGATTAGGCGGCAGTGACTATTTAAGTGAGTTTTAACTTTAACGGCCGAAAAACATGGTGCATTGCGAATAATATGGCAAAAATCGATCAACGAAAAGTTTGTCCATTTTTTTTGTAATTTAAATTACCGGAACGTTTAAGTCTTATTGTTTTTTAAAACGGTTATTGATATTTTTAACCAGGAGAAACATTTGAATCGTGTGAAATGTTCAATAAAGATTAGGAGTGGGTGGGTGCTATAAAATATATTCATGACACGTATGTCTCTCGTTGAAGAGGAATAAATTGTTATTTACGATTCACGGATACTCCAATGGACATTAGTCATCACATTCCTTTGAATTTTTTTGCCTATTAAAAGATAAACAAAAACCTACATAATATATGCCGAGTTGTTCATCATTCGAATAAAACGTTATCTGGACAATCATCTAAATAACACATTATTCAAGTAAAAATTATTCGAATAATTTCAAAAAAAATTGATCGAATAATATAAAAAATAATTATTCGGCTAATATTCTATTCGAATAATTATTCAAATAATTACAAATCAACAATAACTAATCGAATAATATTTGATTGAATTATTCAAATAAAAGTTATTCGAATAATTTTTAAAAATATTATTTAAATAAGTTGTAAGTGCTTTTTTCAATTGATTATATTTTAAAACATTATTTCGTATAAATACAATATGTCATAGGGTTTAATAAGAAATTCATTTTTTATTTTTATACTATAGTAAAAAGTTAAAAGAGTTTAAAAGTTAGGACGGGAGAGAAAGTGTGGTTGGGAAGTGCGCGGTTGGGAAATAATACTACACTCCATTTTTCCTTCTGCCTTAAACTTGAAACTTCAATTACTTTAAAAATAATTATCCAAAACTGGTTATCGACCAGTCAACATTTGGCAAAAATATGGACAATTGAGATCACATTGTATAAAAACACTATTTAAAGCAAAAAAATGTAGTTTCTTATTAAACCCTATGACATATTGAGCGGTTCGAAATTCAATCGGTAATTCATTTGTCGCTTTTCCCTATGGATTTGTTTGATGCTATAACGATGTTAAATCATTGTGCTGGTATGTGTATATGTTTTGAGTTAGACTCCAAACACCAGCCTGTTTATTACAGATCCCATTCGGATCTACAATCAATCGACATATTTTTACGAATTCTCGTGGACCGATTTGCCAAATTCGTTGTGTCCCTTTTTCGTTGCTGTTTTCTTAATGGGGTTTTTTTCGGGAAGGGGGTAATAATAATTTAAGACAGGCTTACCACAATACAGGAGATGCGGTCCGCACGCGGCCACGGACAACGGCGATGTGCCATCGACGATTAGACGGTGTAATCGACAAAATAACAATAAAAAACGCACAATTTTTCGCACGTTTTAATTATTGTGCACATTTCTCTTTCTCGGCGGACCGTATAAGGTCGCCTCGGGGAAGTTGCGACATTCGGTGTTTTTTTTCCTTTTCTTTCGGGCTCGTCTGTTTTGGATACGCTGCTACCTTGCCTCGCGGGCAACCCGGCACGAACGGCACACGATGGTCCGACAAATTTTTTTGTCACAAAAGAATAGCCGCCAACCGAAGGATAAGTAAGTCATGTTCGCGGCGCGTTTTTCGTTTGTGAAAAAAAATTTTCCAACGTCGAATCGATCGGACAGCGTGTGTAGACGTTATTATTTTATTATATTAAATACACCTAAGCGGTTCGTCGTGCTCGGGACGAAGGTAAAAAACGAGGCGATTGTATTATTTTATTATTGATATATATATGTGTGTAACGGCGCACAAAGTCGGACCGCGTTGTGCTTGGACCTTGAAGACTCGGCCGTTTTTTTTTTCGCTTCTGCTCCAATCCCAAACGATATGATCACAACATAATATTGTATTAAATTACACTGTACACCGCGTCCTTATTAGGTTTCCCTCGAGTTCGCTGGACCATAACAAGACAGAAATAACGCACCTTAACGTGTACACCGATTACGGTTTACGTTATTGCCGTTGTTATCTGCGAGCACAGCCATCCTTGTGCGCCAACGAGACCGAATGACTATATCGACCTGGATTTCAGACTGACCGGTTCACAGTTCACGGTCGCGGGCGTGTGCTCTCGAAAAAATCGCTCGTTTACTTCATTGTCGGCCGAGACAGAAAATTGTCGATAATAACCGCGACCGTGGTCCACGGTCCTTTCCACAACAGCTAATACTCGGTGCCCAGTTGTGAGAATGTGTGGATAGTTATTATGGTGGTCTACAAGCTGTACGTTGGCAGCTGACTGCTAAAATGAATGGGTGTACTAGGTTAGGTGAGATTAGGTTAGGTTCTTCTAGAAATTCTTTACCACCTATTTCGATCATTCTTTCTCTCCAAAGTGAGTATTTTTAAGTTTCGTTATAGCATCAAAACAATCTATTGGGAAAACCAATTTTATTATACAACGGCTTTGGAGTAACTTTTGTTCCATAAAAAAAAAAAAAAAAAATTACCATTTTTCTATTAAACTTTCGGTTAAATTCTGATAAGATAATTAAGGTTAGGTTAGAATTAGGCTAGGTTAGGTTAGATTGAGATTAGATAGGCGAGGTTAGATTAAATTTAGGTTAAATTAGATTATATAGGTTAGATTCGTATTAGTTGGCTTAGTATAGGCCTCATTGCGAAGCCCAAATGGTCGAGTATTTAAAAATCCGTTTATACCGTCAAACAGGGCCTTAATAAAACGTCTAGGCAGCCAACCAACAAAATACAGTATGTATATAATACATATATATATATATATATTTTCTAAACAGCATCCTCGATCAATAGGTTAGTTGAATTTCTGTGAAGTCAGATTAGAATTAGCACAAGGAATCTGCAATGTTTTAGAGAGGCTGCGATTTGTTTTCAAGCTTATGGCCGACCAATACTGTTTGGTATTATTAGATTTGAGCCGATGGTTCTCAGAACTTCGGCAGTGGAATGTTACACTTCCGTAAAATGCATTACCTATCTATACACACACACACACATTGAATATTATGCTCATCGCGGGTATAAGGTGTCCGTGTTCATCGCTGTAGGTTCGACACAGCCGTGGAAAGTTGACAAACTGGTCGGCAAAAATAAATAAATAAACACATAAAACGACATAAGTCCAACACTGGCGGAAATAATCCGACAACGGAAACCGAATAAGTTTTGTCAGCGGCAAAGCGCAAAACTAAATGGCAAACCTGTTTTCGAGTTGAGTCGATTATTCGTCTCCTGTGTGTTATATATTATTATTATGTAGTGTGTGTGTGGGATTTACCTTAAGTCCGCTCTCTATTTCACCAATAATAATAATAATAATATAGCGAACTGGCAAAAACACCGTGTACCGTCTAATGTATACCGCAAATTAGGAAAAAGCGGATGAGACGCGGGTATTTCGTGTGGAAAACATATTATTATAATTATTATAAGTGCTACTGGTGTACCGCTTATGTCCGTCTAGACACACTTGACGCGTTACCGACGGCACTCATAATATTAACAATAATAAATACTGATATAATAGATTCTCGAAGAGAAGACGACGAATTAGATAACCGAAAACGGCTACATTGACACGTCAAGTGAGTGGACTGGACAACAAAAAAAAAAAAACGTTATTGAGACCTCAAACGTGTACACGGTCACGTACAAAAGATATCGTGATGGTGTTATTTTTTATATTAATTTTAATTTTAACAAGCGGTTGTCTATAAATCATAATTATTTACAATCTCTCAAATAAATACTTCATTTATAACACGCAAAATACGGTTTGGACCACATTTCCCAAAATATCCATTTGTCTCGTATCGAAAGCAATATTTTAACCAATACAAAGATTTCCTTGACCATAAACAGAGTTGTGCAACATTCGAATAATATATGCAAAGTTGGTCATCGTTCGAATAAAACGTTAACTATTTTTTTATTCGAATAATTCCAAACATAATTATTTAAATAATACTTTATTCAAATGAAAAATTATTCGAAGAATTTCAGATTCAATTATTCGAATAATTTTCAAACATTATTTCACTAGTTTGTGAGTACTTTTTTAAAGTAATTATTATTATTTTATATAAGTATAACATATACACTACAATAACAAAATTTATAAAACCAGTATAAATAAGAAAACAATGTTTCATTCGAATAACTGTCAAATTTATTCGAATAAATTGTGAAATAATTATTCGAATACATTTTTATTCCAATATGAATTTCCACAACTCTGCCCACATGGGATGGAGATTTTTCTTTATTTAGCTAATTTAGCCGTTGTTGTTTTAGGGCTTAGATTTTAAAAATTTGTCTGTAGTTAGATCTAGAATGGAGCTATAACATGTACAACACTGTCAAAAATCTGTAGTCAAACAAAATTGTACTAAGAAAATTAAGGAATTTCTACCTTCGCACATTCGAATCGAAACGTTTTGCAATGTTGTTGGTTTACCTGTCGGTGACAGACGGAAAGACATTGTAAAGTACAATAATAATTGTGATTGAAAGAGCTTAACTACAAACACAACCCTGAGCTTCAACAGAGTGCCCACGACTGTATTAAACACAACTATTAGGACAATATTGTTGTCGAGTAATATATTTTTTCTTCAAACGTCACTACTGTTGACTAGACTGATTATATTCTAGCAATAGCAATATTATTACCTGGTGACAGCGTACACGTGAGATTTTCTGTACTGGTTGATGGGATAAACAGTGGCCAGTGGGTCGTCCGTCGGAGTGGCCGGCAATTGCAGCCATTTGTGCATTTCTGAAGACACACATCCATCACACCTCAAGTATTGCCTGCAAAAATATTATCCATGTTAAAAGGCACGAAAAGCGCACAAAAGTAAAAAAATATAAATACAAAAATTTGATTTGGTTTCGCCGTTAATTTTCGTGTACCGACAAAAAAAAATAATAATAATATTTACCTACACTTGGAAATAATTATATCTTAAATAAAAAAAAAAAAACAAAGCGAATTTGTCTTTGTTTTCTTCAATACAATTTTTGTTGGTCGGTCGCCCGAGCGTGACGACGAGCGTGGAAGTGTTTTTTGTTTGTGTGTCAAGAACAGGCTTAACCGAATTGATAGAATATATAATATAAAAAAATATTATTTTATATCATATATATATATATATATATATATATATATATATATATATATATATATATATACCTACGTTTGCGTAATTCGTCAGTTTTTATTCAGTTAGCAAAATATTGTCTGTCGGCTGATTGGCACAGAGGAATTATTATTGCCAAAATACTGTACCTATTGTATAGGTCTGTAATGTAATTTATAGTAGGTAATAATAAAACGTGATCATAACGGGTTGCAACGGATATTGCAACCCGTGTTTTTTTCTTTTATTTTCGACTTTGATTATCGGTATAGAAAAAAAATACCTAATATTTATTAAGCGTTATGGACATGTCACGGGGCATTGATATCGTTGATGAATGTGTTTATTATAAATTGTAATTTAATATAGTGCCACGTACATATCACATTGGCCAAGTAACCCAATTGCGTGTACTTAAAGGTACCTTATAAATCGGAATCGAACGAGAATATTTTATTTTGTATTAGTATTTACATTGACAATGATATTGTGTATGATTTGACTTTCTTTTACTTCTCATTAATTTTTTTCCACATTAACGCTCAACGGCTTTTGTAATTTGACATAATATAAATGCACAGTATCTAATAAAAATAAAACCATTATGATTAACTAAAATAAATCAGAATAAGAATTTAAAGACCCAATTTCGAGTTGATGTCGCCGGGATTTAAACGATGTCAAGTTTTGGTGCTGAAAAATAGTTATAATTATTGTGATCGGGGTGTTCAATATTTGGTTGCGCTTTGTGCTGGGCTTAGTTGGGTGATGATATTAGGCGACAAATATAAATATATAATTGTGTAAAATTTAGAAATTAGAATCTTAAAAATGTTTAATTTACGTTACCTATATTATATGTGTAATATTAAAAATTACACGGCTACACAACGATTGCATCAACGTTGAACTATGCGGATAAATAGTAGTCATAGGGTTCGGACGTTGATTAATGATATTTGTCTAAATGTGAAATATGACTTTCACGCTTGTTTCGAACCGATCAACATCGTCACACCGTACAACAATGCACAATGATAATATTAATGTTATAATATACCGCATAATATATTATGTCAACAATAACAGTTGGTCACTTTTTTTGTTTCGAAAATAAGCGCTCGAATTCTGACTAGGAAAACCAATTATCGCTCTAAAGTTCAGAGGTGGTTCCACTTGTTTCTCGAGGAAACGGTTTCGGTATTCCGGTAGGAACCCTTCTCCGATCCTGTCAAGTCATAAGTCAGGCGAACAAAAAAATTCAACTCCAACCTGTGAAATGGACACGCATACTTGGATTAAATCTCAACCCCCCGAAAAATGGATTATTTTCTTTATTAATTTTATTGTTATTATTATTTTTATTTTAACAGTTATCGCTTCTGTACGCGCTTATATTGGCCACGATTAACAATTATTATTACAACCCGCCGATTAGCGAGATGCCGCGAGACGTTAAACTTAATTAACTTGAGGTCATCAAGATTGGGAGACGAGTCGTGCGATATGCTAAAAGTAATATTGTAATGTATACACAAAAAATAAATAAATAACACAAATTCATCCTAATGATGAAAACGTTGTGCGCGGATCGTGTGCACGTGGGTTACCTACTTTGGGAGCTCGTGTCCGGGATAATCCGGGCGATTTAATCCCGGAATGAAAACGGCGCTGCTGTTAAAGATCACTGCACACTTGGTTGTAGACGAATTTATCGCCAAGCTGTCGTGATGCAACAACGCGAGTCGGTGTCTGCCCGTTGGAGATTGCCGTTTGTGAACATAACCGCAAGAAAACGTGTAATCGTTACACGCGTGAGAAATTATCGTTATTTGCTAAAAGCCAACCGGGGAGAACAACAATGATATAAGAATATAATATACGTTTCCATACAGTCCAGACGCAAGTAGACTACCTACCTAGTACGTCCCGCAAACAGGTGGGCGAATCCTACAGGTGGGACATTTTTCGAGAGAGAGAAAGATACGGCGCACAGTGTTTTCAATTGCTATTTTAGCTGGTCAAAATTCGTAAATGATATAAAATTGTACTAATATGAATAAAAATAAGCCAACATACTAATTTTATTAACAAAATTACAGTTAATTATTCACGATAGAATAGAAAATAAATATTGTATAAACTAGAGAACGTTAATGTAAATAAATTATAATAATACATGGAATGCAATATTTTTACTGTGTGTGTAATAATAACTTGAACTAAATATTATTATTCTTAATATTTATATGTATTTTTTTTTTTATGTTATGGCTTCAGCAGCTAGGCTATTATTATTATTATATTCAATAAAAAAAAAGAAACATTGAAGATAAAAAAAAGTGAATTGTTAAAATGTATAACGTTTAAATTTAAAGTGTTCTGCAATTAAGAGTTTAATTACAAATTGTAATTAAAAATTAGCAAAAAAGCGGCGAGATGCGGCATTTCTAATTTAGTCGATTTTATAGAGGAGAAAATTTAGAACATGACCATATTAAGTAACAACCTCTAATAATCCCTAATTTTTTTTGCCATGCTATTTGATTTAAGAAACATAGGTTTTAATACTGCGTTTTACATTATATAAATAATTACCCTTTCATAAATAATACTAATATCTGCACCGCGTCGCTCAAAATCGTAATTTTAGTCAATACTTACCAATTATATTGATCTCCATTTTTTGAAAAATAAAAAATAAATCTAGTATGGTCAATAAAAGTAATAATCTCACAACGGCCAATGAGTATTTCCAAAGAAGAAATGAACGATTTCTACATTTCTGTGACATAGTTATGCAGTATACGTGTAGTATAAAAGTCGATAAAACGTTAGCGAGTGGTAATTTAGCTTTCTAAAACTTATGAAGTGTACGATAATTATACTTAAAAATAATATCAGATTATAGTAAAATTCTATTTTTGGCCAGCTACGATAAGATTGAAAACACTGTGCGGCGGTAGTGTTCCCCTTCGCACTCCACAGATGTATTAATTATTATTGTGATCACTGACCCCTTGGTGTCTGCCCATAGTTTCTTCCCAGGTCGCATCGAATTACCTTTGCGAAACACGATAATAATATATCTTAAATAGACATTCTCGGCGTTAATTCCTCGACAATTGTCACGGCCGAAAAAAGCTTGATTGCATTGAATAGCAAGCACTATTATAGGTATATATATATGTTGTAAAAAGATTATGTTATTCTATTATCGCGGACTAATAGGTTTAATGCGAACACTGCAACGGTCGGTTTGCAATGGTAGCAAAACGCATCGATTGCACCATAACCTTGTGTGTCCAAAGTTCAATCAACCCAATGTCGTCAGGCAGTACAATACAAACTTGTATATTACATTGTTGTGACATCGGCGGACAATGATGCGAAAAAAAAAGTCATTAGTCCTTTTCACCACACGAAATACCGTCCCCAGGCGCATCTTGGCATCAGGCACACAATATGTTATCGAGCAATTTTTGTACACAACACGAGATGAATATATCTTTGCTATATTTCCCGAATGGCGGTCAATTACATTTTTAATTCACCACAGGCTTTACTCGGAAATGCCATCCTGCGGGACAATACGGCCGTGGTTAATACTGCAATTGTTAAGTCCCACGAAGACTCAGCTTTCTTGCAGAGTGACTTAAATCGCCGTTTTAATCGGTGTGAAGTCAATGTATCGCTCACGTTTCTATGTTTACTTTATTTACTATAACATTGAGTGTGATAGGCAATAGGTGAACAAAGCAACGAAACTCTAAGGAATTTCATAAAAGCTGCTGTACAAATTTTAAGAATCTCAATTCATTACGTCGGGCTTATAGTCGGTTTAATTTAAATTATTGTTCAATGGAGTGGTCACCTATTTTAAAAAGCCAAAAAAGACCGTTGCAAAGGATCATGCGTTTGTACACTGCCTTTGTGTTTGATTCCTAGGTCGCATCATTCTTCCTCCAGTCCTATCCTTGCTTCTTTAAACCTTGATTCCCTCGGAAATCGAAGAATTAAAGTTGAAAGAAAAAAATTGTAAGTTACTTAAAAATAACGTTAACTGACAATTGTATTTTTTTACTGTTGTCATTTAATCTTTTCAGTTCCAAGTATCATCTCATAGCCAAACGTTTATCCCCTATTTTTTGAGCCTGGATAATGAACAAAGTCTCCAATGTCCCTTCTTACTGTAAGCTACTATATTTTGCCGATGATAGAAGATCGCATGACTTTGCAAGGAAGTTTAGACAAATTAGTCAAGTGGACTGTTTCTCGACGTCGATACTATTGACAAAGACATTTGTGATCTCGGATTCGTCCTTATCTCTTCTGCAAGCCCAAAAGGTTGTATCGGCCATGTCACTTGTAAATCATTTGAGTTGCTAGGTTTATAAAGAGAGTGGCTTGTGAATTTAAGTTTGATACCTGTTTAAATGGTACTATTCTGAGCGCCAATACTCGAGTGTGGTTCTGTTTTCTGCCAGTATACTGTCTACTGATTGAACGCGTTCAACACAAACTGCTTAGCAAAATAATCCACAAGTGCTGAATCTCCAGTCGCTAGCCGATCTTGCTGTAAAACCGATTATCTTTCTGCATGTCTACTTCGGAGTTCCTGCACGACTTGACCGTTACATTGACCTTTTCTTTTTTGCCTAAACAATGAAG